CTAAAGTCTTTGTCTAACTTATGCAAATTAGAAACTCTGAACTCTTAGTTACTCTTGAAATTGCATATTTAATTAGTTTCCCTTGACAATGGCGCCAAAATGTCGCCGAAACGTCAGATTTGTCTATCGTTAGTTTTTGCCTGTATATGTTTATCTAAATCATTGTTGATTAGAATCTAACATTATGGTATAATTTGGCTTTTGTCTCAAAGGCTGATAGATGTACTAGAGCTTGCCACTACACTCATGATTACAGAAATAATAACTGCACCAATGACACATCAACAGCAAAGCCCTCAACAAGACCACTGACTACAGGGAACCCAGGTACAGGAAGCACAACAACAAGGCAACCAACCACAGGCCCATTAACCACAGGGAAATCGACTACTAGACAACCAACTACAGGAAAACCAACCACAAGGAAACCAACCACAGGGCAACCAACTACAGGAAAACCAACTACAGGAAAACCAACAACAGGACAACTAACCACAAAGAAACCAACCACAAGGAAACCAACCACAGGGCAACCAACCACAGGACAACCAACCAAAGGGCAACCAACCTCAGGGAAACCAACCTCCGGGAAACCAACCTCCGGACAACCATCTACAGGACAGCCAAAGACAGGACAACCAACCACCGGGCAACCAACCACCGGACAACCAACCTCAGGGAAACCAACCTCTGGGAAACCAACCTCCGGACAACCATCTACAGGACAGCCAAAGACAGGACAACCAACCACAGGGAAACCTACTACAAGAAAAACAACCACAGGGCCACGGTCCACGGGGAAGCCAACCACAAGAAAATCAACCCCAAGGCAGCCAACCACAGGGAAACCTCAGTCATCAACAAACCAACCAACAACAGGTCAAACTACAGCAAAGATTCCAACTACCCAACAGAAGACCACACAAGGGGTGACCTCCACTACAGCTAAGGCAACCACTACCCAAGCGGCAACAACTACAGTAAAGACACAGACTGCAGTACCAACTACTACACAGAGGACTACAACTCAAGGTGTCAGAACTACTACTCCTAAAGCAACGACCTCCAAAGCTGCAACAACTACAGCACTGACGACAACTGTTGGCACCACTACTGGTACCAAGGCACCAACTACTAAAAAGACTACCACACAAAAAGTGATCACCACTGCTACAACACCCACTAAACCAAAGACAATGACACAAGGGGTGAGCTCCACCACGGCCAAAGTAATAACCACTCGAGCTACAACAACGACAGAGCCTCCAGAACCTACCGAACCTACTGAGCCTACAGAACCAACAGAACCTGGGGTACTTCAGGTCAGGGGAATGTTTCAAAACAACCTAAATCAGGTAAGCTTAAAATTAAAATCAATTTGTTGAGAGAAACAAGGGGAAGCAGTCTTTCTACCAAATATGAATTATTATGACTTATTATATGGCTTGCTCCATGAGCAGGCAAGATGAACCGAATCCTGTGCTGTAAGTGAGCAAGATAGTGCCATCTTGCCCACTCAGGACTAGCCGCTGTGTCCCAGAAGAAAAAGTAATTTCCCTGAGATCCATATAATAAATCATTTCCTGACCAAGCATGTTCAGTCAAGAATTATTGGCTGGATATTGGCCTCAAGCTTTTTTTGTCAGTTTATGGACCAAAAAAAGAACTTGGCCAATATCCAGCCATCTTGACCTCACGCTTGGTCAATAACCCAGCATGTGTCTACACATTGTGGCCTCCTGCAGCTACATAAGCAGGTGCCCTCTTTGCCTTGCAGAAAAAGGAGATGTGAAGGGCCTCTGACAAGTTTCTGTTACTAGCACAGAGCTCAACATCCTCACATCCCCTGGACGGAATGCTAGTCTTGACACGATAGTTAATCCAGTGATATTTTTGCCAGTTTGCCCCAACAGTTCGCTAGTGAAGCACTGTGATTGAGCCAAGTCTTGCCATGGGAATATGTACCATACAATGACCCTAGTCAAGGCACTAACACCACAATGATTCGATTTAGTGCCCAGGGTGCTTATTTACTTTTGGTACCTCAAGGGAGGGCACTTATTCGAGACAGGGTGCTTATTTCCTTTTTGAAAAACAACTGAATGTTCAAAACAAAACTTGAAGGTGAGATCATTCATTTGAAGGAATTATGCACTCACACGGGTAGTTGAGAAACTCAGATGAAGACCACTGTTTTTGTAATGAGGCATTAAGTATGTGAGCAATTAAGGAAGATGAATTTCAACCTCCGTTGATACGTACTCTGACGGTGCTGTAATATTGTTATATTAGAATAGGGGTGCTTATTAGAATGGGGGTGCTTATTGAAACAGGGGCGCTTATTAATAAAAACACATCCAAAGGGGGCGCTTATTTGAAAGGGGTGGTAATTGGAAAGAGGGTGCTAAATCAAATCATTACGGTAATTTAACATGCTAGCCATGAAGTCTTACATCTCCAGTGATGATGCAAGAAAGCAGTCCATTATCGCTGCATACAAAGAAATCCTACATCCACATAATTATATTGATAGTAATGTTACAATGGAGTTATGAGTGTTACTGTACAATTCAGTTACAGAATGATGTTGACGACAGTGAGATTGACGATGAAGATGTTAGTGATGAACAAGATGTGGAAGACAAAGAGCCAAATAAATTTAGTTCTGTAGCTGTAGCAGTAGTCCTGATCGCATTAGTGGTTTGTGTGGCAGCATTTGTTGGTGCAATGTGGTGGACTTACGGTAACGGAAACCAGTGCCCCAGTATTCTGCGAGGGTATGAACCAGTGGCAGGTACTGATTTCAACACTCGAACGGATGAGTTTTTTATATCAACTGATGTTCCATAGTCATGCAGTAAATAACTTGATTGCTCTAAATGCTGTTTAGTGTATACCTGGTAACTAACATATTAGTCCAGATTACGAGCAAGGAGCTGNAAGGAAGATGAATTTCAACCTCCGTTGATACGTACTCTGACGGTGCTGTAATATTGTTATATTAGAATAGAGGTGCTTGTTAGAATGGGGGTGCTTATTGAAACAGGGGCGCTTGTTAATAAAAACACATCCGAAGGGGGCGCTTATTTGAAAGGGGTGGTAATTGGAAAGAGGGTGCTAAATCAAATCATTACGTTAATTTAACATGCTAACCATGAAGTCTTACATCTCCAGTGATAATGCAAGAAAGCAGTCCATTATCGCTGCATACAAAGAAATCCTACATCCACATAATTATATTGATGGTAATGTTACAATGGAGTTATGAGTGTTACTGTACAATTCAGTTACAGAACGATGTTGACGACAGTGAGATTGACGATGAAGATGTTAGTGATGAACAAGATGTGGAAGACAAAGAGCCAAATAAATTTAGTTCTGTAGCTGTAGCAGTAGTCCTGATCGCATTAGTGGTTTGTGTGGCAGCATTTGTTGGTGCAATGTGGTGGACTTACGGTAACGGAAACCAGTGCCCCAGTATTCTGCGAGGGTATGAACCAGTGGCAGGTACTGATTTCAACACTCGAACGGATGAGTTTTTTATATCAACTGATGTTCCATAGTCATGCAGTAAATAACTTGATTGCTCTAAATGCTGTTTAATGTATACCTGGTAACTAACATATTAGTCCAGATTACGAGCAAGGAGCTGAATGGATGTCTTTGATTAACAACATTACTCAGTTGTCCCAAAGATGAATTTATCACATCAATTTAATGTCATTAATAGCTTCAAGGTAGAAGCAGTTTGTACTGACATGGACTTCCTTAAGTAAGCCTCAAGATGCAGTCCACTACGAAATAATTTAAAAGGTGTAGATTTGCAATGATACACTTTTTATTAAGTCCTATTTGAAGTCAAATCAAACATCAAATTGTGTCTATATTGTAACACAATCCCTTTAGGTGACTGGTAGATTTAGGGGTGCCATGACGTGTTGTACAATCTCCTTTTCTTTGTGGTAACAGCCAGGATTGTTCTTTAATTTTGTAAGGAAGTAAAAAAGTTTATTTGAAAAAAATATTTTTATGATGGATTTTATGTGATTAATAAAGAATTGGAATTTCATGTGAAATACAATAAGACACAAAAGCTAGACCACAATTATCATAATTTATTTCTATAAATAATATTATTTTGTTTTATAGTAAAACTAGAGGTAGTAGAAGTAGTAGAAACTTACAAGTTAAATTGAAAAAAAAATAAATAAATAAATAAAAATTCCTATACCATGATGTACTTTAGTATTTGCCATGAATTAAACACGTTCTCAATAAGGTTCTTTGTTTTCTTTCTTCATGTCACAATAAAATTGATCACTAAATAATTTCTCAATATAGCTACGGCCACAGATTAAATTACAGATGTTAAGGAGAGTTATTTTGTTTCTCTAAAAGCTTAAAATCTGACTGGTCTGCCAGAACTATGATGTGTACATGTTATGTCATGTACTAGTAACACGCAAGACTAGTAAAAGATCTTTATTTCGTTTCAAAAACTTCAGTCTGATTGGAAAACTTGTACGAGGGTGACAACCTGCATGATGCTCAGCCACAGGCTGAGTGAATGAAAAACACTTTAAACCCAACTGGCTCATCAGGGATGGATCCAGGATTTTTCTTGGGAGGGGTGCACCATTAAGGAATGGCGTAACTGACTGGTGAGGTGAACAAATTTTAAAAGCAAATACAAAGAAGAAGGCTTCATCTTGGGGGGACGGGGAGGGGAGGGGTGTGCAACACTTGTAGCCTCCCCCTAGATCCGCCCCTGGTCATGTACATGTAACTCCAATTTCTGATGCATAAAAGCAGCTAGCTAGGAGTATCACTAATCCCCCTGCTAGTCCATCACAGTTTACTCCCCAGTATTCTGTCTTGTTCCCCCACTAATTTGCCTGCTGTCACCTATAAAACTGGGTGGAGTGAGGAGTACTTTGACAGAAGGGTGTCTTCCTCCCTTCTGTGGTGTCTTCCCACACCACAGTGATCTCAGCCAGGGCTTATGGTAAGGTGGTCACTGAATGAAAAGGTTTTGTGGCTTGAGATAAACTTCAACAGCTATCCACTGTACTATGAACTTGAGAACAAAATGTGTCGTGATGACTGACCATTGATGTTCACACATCAAAACAATTCTAAAGTTTGCAGCTTGCTACACTGTTTGTTGGGTTGTTATACATGTAGAAACTTGCAGTTTATGATACGTCCTTTCTAAAGTATGTAATTGACTGAGGTTTCCAATAGCAACTAGGGGAAGAGTTTGTCTTGGCATAGCACAACTTCCATAATCTGAAGGACTACGGCCTCCAGCATCCATCACAACCCCTATTAGGGTCTTCATGTAATGCCTGTCACCACTAACAGCTGCTTGAACTCAAACCACATTCCTTTTCCAAATAACAATGAAGGAGATTATTTTCTTGGCATACTCATTGCTTTACTCAGTGCAGCACAGTTTGTTTGAACTCTCTGCAAGGTAATTCTAGTGAGTTCAGCTTCTTCTTGGCCTTTTCTCACTGTTGCTTGGTAATCCAGCTGTAACATTTCAGAATCTAAGGGAATGGCATTGACTCCTGAAGACAGTAACTTCTCATGAAGGGTGTCAGTTAGCTTCGCCAACCCATCCAGGTCCACTGATTTACAAATGAAGGCAACAAATACACCATTACATGGACATACAGGGATGGCAGAGCTGGGGAGGGGGGGCTTTAGCCCCGCCAATTTCAAGCAAAAAATACATAAAATAATAATTTTACAAAGATCTCCAACCCCCTACAAGTTAGCACCTGTGGCACACGCTTGTTACCCCCCCCCCCCCACCCCCCACCCTGAATTCAAAATACCTTCTGCCATCCCTGACATACATAGTAATCTTGCTTTCTCATTTTACATAGTCCAGTATGACGTGTGATCAAGGTGTATGTTAGCTAAGACGATGAAATAATTTAAAAAAATGCTAATGCAACATGATCAAAACTCCTGTTGCATTAGGCTTTTTTTAGTGCAGGGGAAAGAGCACACACTTCTTTCCTGAACAACGGTTAATAAGCAAGCTTAGCCTGGAGTTCCATATAACTCATTTGGAGGCCATTCATCCCCAAGTTGTTTTAAATTACTACAAGCTTATCAATTTTGTATTCATGAAAAAGAGAAACATTCATCACACCACCTAAGGCTGGTTTTCACTAGTGACAGAGTTAGAGTCATAGTCAGAGTCTTAAAAGAGCTTGAATTGAAAATTGGAGTCATAAGCAGAGTCATAAGCTAGACGGAATTGGAGTCAGAAGAATCAGAACATTTCTATTTCTTCCTATTCCATTTACGGTTCCGTCACTAATGACCCAATGAAAACTAGGTTGTTGGAGTCGGAAGCAGAAGCAGAAGAGCCAAATTAAATCACAAGGCTTTTCCATTTATGACTCCGTTGCTAATGATCCAATGAAAACTAGGTTGTTGGAGTTGGAAGCAGAAGCGGAAGAACCAACAAATCACAAGGCCCAGAATTGAACATCACTGCTGCTGTTTCCAACCCCGACAACCTAGTTTTCAAGAGATTGTAAGCGATGGAGTCATAAGCAGAATTGGTGATTTGCTTCCAACTCTGTTGGTTTGATTTTCACTACATCGTATTGCTCTACGCTTCTGATTACAACTCCGACTCCGTCGCTAGTGAAGACCAGCATTTACATATTTTAAGCATCAACTTGTACTCACTTTTGACATCTTCGACAGAGTACGACATACCAGACCCCATTTGCCTGCAAGGAAACATACAGTGCAACATGCATACCATTAAAATGAACACCTTTCCCCCATAAAATTGTGGTCATATTAATGGAGGTTCCATTGTACATATGAGTGATATGAATCCAAACTTCACAGGTCCTGGGGTCTTCACTTTACCCTCAGTCTGCATTTTACCCCCAGTCCACAGTCTGCTTTCTGCAGTCCAAAGTCCAAAGTCCAAAGTCAGAGTTTTACACTGACCAGTTTAATATTATTCTGTTCCAAATTGATCAACTTTAAGTTAATCCCTACATGTATGTCAAACTAAACATCGATAGATTGGAGCAACAGGAATTAGCATGTTAAAAGGACATAGGCTAGTGATAACTTAAGGTTGTTCAAAACACTTTACAGCACTTACATTTTGATGGGTTGTTATAACTACTCTTTATCACTTGATGCTACAATCTTGGTATCAAAAAAACTGCCCAATCATTGGTGATCATGTTGTTATCATTTTCGGACAAATAAGGTTACTATAGCAACAGTATGACCTGCTAAAGTCACCCTTAATTACAGCTTTAGGGGCTTGTAATTCAAAAACAGCACAGTGAATGTTTTTTGTGTTGTCAAATTTTGACAAACAAAATAAGATGCAACCTTGAACAAAGTTTAAAAAAATTATGTAGATAAGGTTCAGAGCCACGTTAAATTTTCAAAACTTTAAAGTGGCTCTGAATCCCACATACAGAGTTTTTTTTAACTTTGCCAAAAGTTGCATCTTATCATGCTTATTAAAATTTGATAATATAAAAAACATTCACTGTGCTGTTTTTAAATTATAAGCCCTTAAAGCCGTAATTAAGGGTTTTTTTTAGCAGGTCATACTGTTACTATGGTAACCTACTGTGTCACAAAAATGATAACAACGTGTTCACCAATGATGGGGCAGTTCTTTGATACCATGGTTATAACATCAAGTGATAAAGAGTGGCTATAATGACCAATCAAAATCTAACTGCTGGAAACTGTTTTGAGCCACCTTAAAGAAGGCCACCTAAAGAAAACAACTCCGTGGAAGGTATCCGTTACAGAAGGACACAGAATATGACCCTTTGAGGGTGTCCGGCCGTTTAGCACCCAAGTCGATTAGCCCCTAACCACTGAGCCCCTAACCAGAAGTTGATTAGTTCTCAACCAGAAGTCGAAAACACTGTCTATAATTGGGGTTAATCGACTTCTGGTTGGGGACTAACCGGCTAGTGGCTAATCGACTTGAAAATTCAGGAAACAGACATTCAGTATAAAATCGATTGGCAGTTACTTACATGCCCGTAAAAAATTTACTAGCTTGCTGATCCACGAGGTTCAAAACTGAATCAAAGTCGTTGACGTTCAAAGAGACAGGCCCTTGTCCTGCCGCCATATTGGTTCTCTGTCTATCTTTGTGCGAGTACCCGCTGTCCTTAGAAACCAGGCCTACCTATTGGAGTGGGTGTGAGTAGCCCTTTTTATTTCAATCCTAAAGATCGATTATTGAATTTTTAAAATGATCTATCCCAGCCATAACAGAAAGGAGTTATTGATGGATTTATTTTCATTTGTTTTGATTTTTTTAGTTCCTTCAATAAAATTTAGGTCTAGGGAAGTTAAGCATCCTGAGCCCCCCTCCCTAGCGATATTTCACATTACGATATCATGGCGCCGTTGTACGTGTAGAGCCCGACAACAGTTCTTCCCTTGTTTTTGTTTTGGTTCAGTTTGTGTTTATACCGTCGTCCTCCCACGAAAATGTCCTTATCTCCAGTCGCCATAAAAGAAGCAAATCATCACATTCAAGGATTAGTGATGCGAGTTCACGAGCTGGAGGAACAGGTAAAGGAACTGTCTGAGGCGTTGAAGAAGCAAAACGAAGCTCACGCGGAGAATTTAAAGATACTTCCTCTTCGAATGAATCAAACTTTGAGACAAAAAGATGAAGAGATACAAGAACTAAGACAGAAACTTCAATCTTCCGAGGCAATTATAGAAAGGCTTGTTCGAGAAGCGAGCGAGCACGAAAGCTCAGTGCGGCACCTTAAAAATCGCTCAAGAGTTCTCGACGAAATTTGTAAACATCGAGAAGCCTTCGAAAGTGTATTGACGTGTCTGAGTATTCTTGAAGATCCTGGCAATAGTTCTTCAAGTGAGGCAAGCAAAATGGCAGAGAATGGTATAGTCAGAGAAACAGATTTACTTGACAGTGATGGGGAAGGCGAAGACATCAATGGAAATGACAGATCACATGAGAAACGGGTCGACAGTGGAGTTGGATCGAGTTATTCCTCGTTTCATTTGGAAAATGGAAGAGCAAACGAAAAAGGAGTGCTACCAGAAGACGTGTTTTTACCACCGGAAGAAAACCCTCCTCCCTGTTTTGTCTGATGGAAGAGCAAATGAGCATTTGTCACTGAAAGGCATGTCAAGTGTTTACCAGTTTAATTATGCCTCAAAATTCAATCAATTTTACACGTAAAAAATTCCTTCATTCATACTTGACAAAAAGCTGGGACACTAAAACGCTAAAGTACCTCATGCAGTGGAACTTTATCTGCACAACATGTCAAGTTTGATGTCCCAAAATTATTCAGTAAAATTTTAAATTAAGGTACCTGTATTAACAGTAACTTTACTCATTAAGTTATCATTGATTGATCTTGGTTAGGTGGAAGGTTGGAGTGCTTAAGGTCATTCCCCAGTATTGCATTGCGCATCCCTACTGTGCATAATTTCACGCGTGATTAGCACGCGCGCATTAAAAAATGGCGGCTTTTTCTTCACAGCTGGACCTCGCCATAGAGGTAAATCGTCATTTTCTCAGAAACGAGTATGGTGACCTATCATTTTTTTCTGTTGTTTTGAATTGAGTAATAAATTTCTCTATGTAAAATAAATATGGACCAATTCTCAGTGTAGAACAGAAAGCAATCATCAGAAATGTGAATTTAGCAAGCAATCGTAACTACAATCATGGTGCTATTATAAGGATTTATATGGGTATAAACAAGGTGCTTTTGCTCCTAAACGAACATGGGGACCCCTCATTTTTATTTCAAAATTTAAGTTCCTATAATATAAACAATCGATAGGCAAAGTTTCACAAAAATCTCAGTGCAGGTTCTATTTCAGCGTAATGACCTTAAGTGCCTCAAAATTCATTTTTATTGTATTGCATAATATTGAACATGGACAGCACGACATAAGGTGTTGTTTCAATTAGGGGAGAATTCCCAGAGAGAAAAAAATCCAACAAAATCACTGAATCTGAGCAGAACTTTTCACTTATAGCAGCTTTGTGATATTCATTTGTCAATCTAGAACTGCATTATATTCCTGTCCAAAAAAAAGTTCTCAGTGTATTGTCAACACTGTGTTTTAACGGGCAGTTCATAAAGGGTGAGAAAAACCTGTAAGACAGCTGAAGATCAGTTTCTAAAAACAGAAAGATGCAAGCTGCATATGGATTCAGCAAGTGATCTTATCTAAGGGTTCATAATCAACACCATATTCTATTTAGGCTCAGCTAATGAAAAGTTAAAGACTATAAGAGACACTTTTGCAAGCCATATTGGTAGATGTAGGGGTAGTATTTTGTTAGGAAGTTGTTGCAAATTCTCAAACTTCACAATACGGTAATTAGTCAAGTTACAAAGGAAAACATTAACCAAAATTGTAATTTGGATGTAAATGACATTAATGTTTACAACAGAATTTATTTTTTTGTTCCCTAGTTTTCCTTAGGAATATATCAAACATTCGATTTTTCATGATGTTATATCAAACATTCGATTTTCCTGATATTTTCAAAGTGAACACAAAAATTGTTTTCCACTGTCATCTCATTGTTTGGAAATGTAGTGAAATATTGTCAGTTATGCTTGATATACCCGGTTATATTATTCCTCTATTGTTTACTGCCCCTTTAAATAACATGTAAACTCTGAAGTTCAAAACCTAACTAACAATTTCTATTTTGGCTGCCGTCAATCGTGATCTGACAGGACAACGATCAACTGGTCTTGAAAAAAAGAAACAAACAACATAGATCAAAATCTGCTAATCGCAACCCACAGACGATATGTTTTAGCTGAAGTAAACTTCTGTTTCCTAAAAGTTCCACTAAGATCTCTGACGGACGCAAAACACAAAACCGTTGATTTCAAGAGTTGATGTGTTATTGAATAGAGCAGTGATAATCTGTTGAACAACGATCTGACCATACAGTGTATATTTAAAAATTTTTACATCTGTGTGTGTTTGGCATAAAGATATGACATAACCTTTTTGGACAGAGTAGGAAATATAATGCAATCATAATTCGATCTCTTCATGACCAGAGTTTTATACCATTGTGACGTCTTTTGTAGGAGAAAGAGCCTGATACATGAGTGAATTTTCTATAAACTGGAAATAGCAAAATTCATTAACATGCTAGCTTTAAAATTTATTTAAAGGGAGAATTTGGGGACTAGCAAATTTAATAAAACAATTGTGAACAGGCATTTCTTTTTTCATTCCTTCGTTACCCAGGGAATGGGTCACTTTAACGATGCCACTCAATTTATCATGCCAGATTTTGAAAATATGCAAATGTTCATTACAATCCAATGCAAACTCATGAAAACATGGGACCCCGAACTTGCCAAATTTTGCAAACAAATGTAAGTCAGGAGACAAGGGGTTTGCCCTGTAGCAAACATTTTCAAAAAATTGTCAAGTTTGATAAATCCCATATTTCTATGATTTTGCAACAGATTCTTACAAAACTTCACTTTTTACCAAATTCAACAGGGTAAATTGATCTACAAAGGAGAGTTTTGGTTTTTGTGTTTATATGAAAAAAATGGGAAACATTGTTGATATTGTGTGACCCGTTGAAGCCTCATCTCAAACGTAAATTGTTGGAGTTTGTACAAGTAAGTCACATTTTTCTAACTAACAAACTAGTTCTAACCAAGTTTTCCTTTGTCACAATTATTTTGGTATTAACTAAGAGCTGTTCATTTGCCCCTCTGCATTTCATCCAACATTTACATTTTTATCTCTTGGTAAGCGATACAACACCAACAGGCGCTGATCATTCTAACTGTGTGGTCTGAAAGGTCACGCGCAGTCTAAGTCACGCAACAGTCGCATCCAGGGCCTTCTTTTTCCGTTGGGCGCGACATTTGCAATTCAAAACATCCAGTTCGTTCACTTCCGTTTCATCTGCTTGTAGTACATTATGTAAAACGGAAGTTAGGGAAATGCTAACCTCTGAACTCATTTCCTTTCACAACTCTAAAACTCAAGAATGGACTCTCAAGCGGACAAGTTTTTTTACAGAAGCTAGAGCGAAAACAGAAAATGAGTATCAGAAGGCGTTACTGGGTGTGCTTTGTACTTGATCTCAAAGCTATTAAGTACCCCAGTACTTCACACAACGCCGACTGTTCTATTTTGTCGCGAAATGTTCCAACTTAGCGAAACGTTTGAGATTTAGGTAACTCTTGCAAGGCAAGAAAATTCCAATCCGATTAACACTTAGGGCAAAGGAAATTGAGAGAACCGCAAAAACAGAACAGAGGTTCTCTAGTATTGAGGTGAGTTACGTTACCAACTTTACCCCAACAGTACGGGTCAATGATTGCTACACTTATTAAATCGTAAGTGCAGTTTCATCAGCCGTCAACTTTGCTGCACAGTTTTGAAAAGGGCGCTTTATAAGGCACAGGACTTTAATTCAGCCAGAGGCACTTGAAAAGACAGGTCTCCGGCTGTAACTAATGATTTTATTACTCCAGAACTTGACGAACCAGCTCACATCATCATTTGATAATCATAACAAAAACATTGAACAGAAGATCAGAGCTTTTGTTTTCCATTATGACCTCGTGGTAGCATCTGCTCTATTGTTGTTACAGCTCGTCAAAGGCTCCTTGAATCTGCAAACTAAAGCTTCGACCACTTCGCTTCTCTTTGAAATATTTAAGGTAAGCTGAAGTTCTTCGAGTTGTAAAAGTCATTCGTGACGAATTTCCAAGGGGGGCAGAATATTTGTGAACAGACAGGGGCGCATCTTTTGTTTGTCGCGGACATGAACTCTTCTGAGGAATCGTGGCAGAAAATAAGCGAGGATTAAGAGTAGAAATTCGGATGAACAGAAATACATCTTTAACCTTCTTGCAGACATCGCAAGAAATAGGCGTGACGCATTGGCAAAAGTCACTTTTCGTGACCGATTAATGCCGTTGAATGGGTTCTTTTCGAAAATAAAGATGGACACACACAGTGCACATATAAAAGATTGCTGAATTGCCATCATCTGTTAAGATCGTTCTTTTAATTTCCTTCCTTTTACTGATCTTACTGCAGTCGAATGATAAATTTCTGGTCGATTCGTTAGACTTGATCCGATTGAAACGAATGAGCTCAAAGCAAGATTACCCATAGAGCTTCAACTAATTTGTCTTTTTGCGATCACGCTGTTTTAGGCATATTGAAAACAGCGAGAAACTAACGTTCCACACAGCTCAACTCAATGATTAATACAGCAACTTTGTTTCGCTTAAAAATAGCGAAAGTGAAAGAACAAGGATGAATTTTTGATCATGAAACTATACTGACATGATAAAATGAGATATTGTGTTCATCTCTGTTAGCAGCGACTAACTTTATATCGGAACTACTTAACTCCTCCCTGTGCTGAAAGATAAGATGGTCGATGAAAGCAGCTCTATCGTTGTTGTTTTTCAACGAGAAAATATAGGGGACTTAGGCCTATCCTCCGAGTTTTCCGGGAAATAGTTTGTTTCTTTTTGGTCGATTGTTGAGTGTTAAAAACATATGCAGACGAGTTTGTAAAATCAGGAGGGAATTTTAAATAAACAGGTGTCGATTTTATTTACGCATGGCAAAATGACAATGACAGGAGAACCACATAATGTAGGTTTCTTTGACATGTGTACGATGACAACTGATGACAATTGCTCACAATAATGCAGTCGTCGCTCTACGAATCTAGGCGGATCGCTTCGAATCAAAATACCTGTTACGCGCTTCGATAACAAAGCGTAACCAGTGCGATAAAACGGTACGCGCCTTGGTGATACAACAGCGTGGACGGTAGTTACCAGGTCCTCTGATGTGCTTGCGCGGGTTGGAAGTTGGAGGTGGGAAGATATTATTGCTTATCGGGCAAACTGGTCCCTTGGGATGAAAAGGAGATTTCTGATCGGTTCTCTAAATGGCCCGAATTTTGCAATGCGAAACGCGAGTTAAGATGGTCGCTCGCGAAAAACTTTGACTTCAAAACATTGCACAAAAGAAATCAGTCTTCCTCAATAATTCTTCTTCATCAACTTTCACGAAAGCGACCTGAAACACGTAAATAAATGCTTACTATGGCGCGAGCGTTCCCCTCTTTCGCTCAGTCGTGCGTGACGCGAACAAAAACCGCGAAAAAAAAATGGCCGCGCGAAATCCTCGCGGCCTTCTTTCGAGTCACGCACGACGCACTATGTGAAGGAGGGGTTACTCGTAGTATAAATTATTTTTAAAAAGAAGCTGTAGATATACCGCATTGATTCGATTTAGCGTCCTCCTCTCCCCCTCGGGTGCTGTTGTCTTAATAAGCACCCCTATTTCAAGAAGTGCCCCTTCCAATACGTGGCAGTTAACATATTGAATATTGAATTTTCCCATCTCGACGTAGTAATTATTGAACATTGTGACTATCAGAGCCCCTATTGCTACTGAGTTAGAGTAACTGTTGCCTTTAATCAAGGTAGTATATATGCTCAAAAAGAAATAACCACCCCTTTCCTAATAAGCGCTCCTCTCTGGTACGGGCCCTCCCATGAGCTGTCAAAAGAAAATTACGGCCCCGGGCGCTAACTCAAATCATTCCAGCAATTAACCACAGCAAACTTGCAATTCAACCGTGAAATAATTTCTCAAGAACAAGCTGTAATGTAGCTTTGCCCTGCTATTATCAACATACAAAATTTAATTCTCTTTATTCCACTAACATGTTACAGCTGGAAGGGCGATGGGGGAATCTGATAGCGTTGTCAAGCTGGAATGGAAAATGGAAGGTTGGAAGGACAAAACAAAGGCCTTAAAAGAGGAGATGAAGAGACAAAGCGAGGCGAATGAGCTGTTCTTTGTCAAAAATGCCAAAGAAATCAACATGGCCGAGTTTCAAGAAAGCCAAAGTAATAAATATACTTTTGGTATCATGGGGATGACAGGAGCCGCTGTAGTCAATCTTCTGCGCCGCATTATCATGGAATACCGCGAGACGGACAGCGGTCCTTATTTTCTGAAGTTCGCCGCTGACAAAAAATTTAAGGTTGAGCTCATGCCCACCGCGCTGTATCCGGGACATGGGCTGATTAAAGTTGTCGGAAGACTGAAGTACTATTCATATCCAGAAATGTGCTCTTTGCTGACTAAAAGTGGTGTTACGAGTAAAGGCCTGGGTGACATGACTTACAAGCTGAATACGAAAGGCATGAAGTCTGCATTGTTCAATGCGGTGAGTCCCATGAACGAACTTCACTTCATGTTACTGTTTGAGATCGCGCGGAGACTGGTGCGGGATTCTGAAGGGAAGCCCGTGTCGACCGATCCCGCGCTTGATCTACTTCCGGTTGGTGTCGTCATCGGTCGTGTCATTGAGCTTCTCCGCGTTGAAAAAGACGCCGTGCTGAGTTATGAGAAAGTCTTCGGCGATCAGCAGCCGCTAAACTGGTTCACAGAGAATAACACTATCCTGAAGCGACAGAAAATGGCAGCTATTAATAAAATGTACTTCGAAAAGTTTGTCAAGGGGCAGGAAGACGAGATCCCCTTCATTCGCAGATTTCTGGAGGAAAACAAGAATGGTTATATTATAAAAACATTACAAGGTTACCTTGACGACCTGAAAGAAGTATTCGGTGAAATGTGACGTATTATGAACAAAGTAACTCAAGTTGTTCCTCAGTAATAAATAAAAACAAGCAAAGGTTTTCTCCGGACCAGCATGCACTGCGGTCGCGCAAGTGTGTAACGCCCGCAGTGCTTATCATATATCGAAAAAAAGAAGAGAATTAAAAGATAGACAAAATGAGGTGATCTGTGCTGTCCATCTTTCACAAGATCTGAATTGTTGTGACAATGAAAGAATTTGAGCAATCTATAGCTACGGTTGTACGGTTGTACATTAAACGTACTGGTTTTAGTATTCGATTCCGGGAGGGGGAAGATATGAAAAGGTCAGGGGGTACTAGTGAGAAAATTTGACTTAGACAATATGGGCGTGGCTCGAGCTTTATTTGACACCTAGAAGACGCCATTTCAAACGGAAATGACAGCGTATTTTTATTATTTCTTTGAGTGCGCGGTAAAAGATACTTTGACGGTTAAAATCGTGGCGTTTTACCGTGAAAATGTCACCCTAAGTGAGGATGTAACCCCAACCTCGTTCCCAGGGTCTCTCCTCGCTCGTCGCAGGGGGCAGTGAGATGAGAGACCCTGGGAACGAGGTTGTCATAATCTTTGATTTACACCCCAAAGTGAGATGATGAGTATCCCCGACCTTTTCATACGAGGGTCCCCCGGGAGGGTTCGATTACAGGTCCTACGGACCGTCAGGAGGTTTCCGCGAGGAATTTTCATCGAAGTCTACCTTAACGAAACATATGAATGTCACTTTTCCAGCCAGTGTTGTACTTCTGTTGTTAATTTCGTTTATTTATTATTTTATTTCATTTCTGTTGAGTTGTAGATGCTCTAATAAAACATTTTTAGAAATTAACGAGTGGATACTAACGGGAATCAAACTGACGTTGAATATGTGAAAATGTTAGTTCAAGAATCTAGCCGATCAAAACAAGTGTCTAGAGAGCGGCCATATTTTCTTTGTGCCAAGGCCCCGCCGGATAAGAAGGAAAAGGAGGCCCTGGGAACTAGAACGGCAAGGACTACCTGTGATGTAGATTTTGCTTAAATCGACAGCCCATCCTAGTATATAACATTTTCATCCTCCAGCAAGACATCCACGCAACGCGTTGGCGGCGGAAAATCGTACCTCGCAGCTTTAATTCTGCGCATCCCTAACTCTACTTGCGGGCTGCAGTGGCGGAAAGAGCGGCGGACCGTAATACAGTACGCGAGGATGTCGCTCGGTTGATGTACTTTTACTTGGGCAAGCATGAATTTTTTTGGCATTTCATTGTTAACTGAAGAAAACAAGGCTCCCCCTGCTTGCTGTGAGGTTCTCTAGCTTATATGGTTAGTGCTGGTGTGCTTGTATGGATGCAATATGTAAAGAGGGATGGTGGAAATATCGCGGGGAAATAAAGTATTCGGAAGCCTTCTTGGGTTAAATTGATTCCCCAAGAAAACAACACATCAGCTTCCCACTGGTGACGTGAAAATGCTGCTGGTTCTCGGGAAAATTGGGAAAGCATGTAAAGTTGGTAACTTTTTTTTGTTTAGAAGATAGACGAAATTCTCGCCATTTTTTTCAAACTTGGAGCCTGGCGTGCGGCCAAAACTCCCGAATGCTTATTACGCTTTTCCGCTCTGAACGCAATGCGCAAGGTAAATTATGCGCGGAAGAACTGGGTTCTACGTCTAAAAATATCTTGAGAAGAACAACTTTTGGGAGTAGGGCTGGTAAGAGATAAACCCTCTCTTGCTATAACAAAGTAAGCCAAGTCAAGATGATGCAACATATATCGTTTTGTGTTTACTTTATTATAAATAAGTCTTATCATCATTATTATTTTTTAAAAAAGTTCATTGACACAAAATATATGAGCCCACAATTCACCAGCCGAAGGCTCAGAAGAGCTGTACTACTTCACCCCAGTCCTTCTCGTCCCACTGACCATTCTCACGCACATTTGGCGGGCTTTTCTTCCAGTTCCATTCTTTGATTGGCACGTGCCAATCCATCCCGTAGTTTGCCATAACATAAGACTCGGTTTCACAAGGGATGCGCACTTTCAATCCCAGAAACTCCGTCCAACAAAGAGTGAATTTTGGAAAGATATACCTGAAAAAGGAGTTGCGCGAAGTCTGTGAATTCTAGTCTCGTGATACTGAAAAATGGTCTTTAAGAGCGCCTGTTATTCAACTTGATACAGATATTTTATTGACCGAGCTCGACCGGCCGTACTGAGAAGACATCAGCCCGAGGTCTCCACAGCACGGATCCAGCGAAACGAGGTCTGTAAAGGAACGGACCGAGGGCCGATGTTCCCGCAGTACAATCGAGAGCAACCTTGGTTAATAAGAGATCTATTACACGGATTTGTGAGTGAAAAAGAGGCTGAATACTTAGTGAAAATATTGGACCGGCAATGAAGCATTCTGATTATCTGATTTTCGTTATTGACACTCTCAGCTGAGCCTTATTCCCGCAATAAGTATGGGTAATCAAATGAAAGCGAGTAAAATTAGGAAATAATTTCACTTACGTTTTTTTCAAAATTCTAATAATTTCCCGAACCTTTGTAAGAGAGTGAAATTATTTGGACCGTGGCAAAACGCAAGTGAAATTATTTCTTAATTACACGAGTATACTATTTGATTACCTTTTAATACCATGGGTGAAAAACTACACTTTTTTGGAATGTTTACTGTATGGAGAAATTTCGCACCAAACTTTGCCATAGCAATTTTGTAATTTCACAAGTGAAATTATAAATCAATGCTGAGATTTCGCGCCAAAATGAAGGGGTAATTTGTCACCCATGATATTAAACTTGTTATTGCATCCTTAAAAATAATGCTCTAATTAAATGCCTGCGTTAGGCATACGTGTCAACTTAATAACTGTGCCACGTGGAACGGCTTCATGTATTGAACAATTCATTGTTTATTTAGATGAAGGCACAAATATTTAAGTTCAGACTTTTTTATAATGCACACAACTTTGCTCTTCCGAAATGGTATCAAAGCAAAACCACGGACCGTGCAAAAAGCGAGAAAAGTTTCGAAAAGCCGAATTAAGATCGATCTAGATGGGACTTGATTTTGTGTTTCAGTGACTATTTGAGAAAACACGGCATGTTTCAGCTCTGATTGGTCAGAAAATATGCAAGAATATTTAACCAGTAGCATACTAACCATCATATAACCAATTTCAAACGTTAAACCAAGGGAACGAGGGAAGTTGTTGTCACTTGACATTAGAAAAAAGTCTTAAGTAATTGAGACAGCTATAACAGCATTGTAACCTTACTTGAACTTTTTGCCCGATTTGGCCTGTGTTCCACCATTCCACATGTAATCCTCCTCTTCATAGAAAAAGAAGATATCTAACTTAACGTAATCCTCTTTAGTTCTGAAGGACAACTCAAAGCTGTCTTCTATCTAAAAGAGATAGCGATGAATCAAATTAGTTCTTATAGAAGAATAAAAACCAGACATGGTTCTTTCAGTCGTGTTGCAGACTATCGACAGTTCGCAATCCGATTGGCTGCAAAGGTGAATTCTGCCCCATCTGGGCATGCGCGCTGATCTTCACGCATTAATGGCTTAGAACAAACAAAAAATAGGTTTGCAATGTGTACATGTGTGGGTTTTGAACCGTTGATTGAGAAATGCTATTTCAATTTTGTGAGTTCAACTGAAAAATGACCAGCACGTTTTCATATGAATGGTTGTGTACCAGCCCTCGATGTGCAAGGTACCTCAGAAATGGGCTACTGAAGTTGACAAAGGTTGAAGGAGCTCAGTCACGGTATTTTGAGTTTTTTTGGCCACATACAAAATTACCTTTAAATGGTAGGAAACCTGAAAATAACAGGTTAATAAGATAGAAAAACACCAAAGAGATAATGATAAACCATAAAGGAACAAGGATGGCTAAGGATGGAGAAGATTAACACGGATTACAAACGACGAATTTGAAAAATTGAGGCTAAACTTCTCAATATGCGCAAACTGTGAAGTAGCTCCTTTAACTTACCGCTGTAGCGTATTTGTCAAAAAGACATCTCACGCGCCAGCCCATTGTCAGCAAAGTGCTTTGACTAACGCTGAAAATGTCATCTTCACAAGCTCGATACAGTGATTGATTTACCTTTATAAATTTCAAGTTGTTAAATAACTAAGTGTTTCACTTGCCCACCGACGTTACCCAACGGTTTCAACGCTTATTTAAGACCCTGAGCGTCAGTTCGGTCAGGGCTCTAACCCTCGACCTCCCGCACAGCAGTCTGGTGCTCTACCAACTGAGCTAACCAGGCGACGGTTAATACCTTGTTCGCTTGACAAATTCCGATAGTGTTGTAAAATTACTTACTCGGCCAAATTTATGTTTTAAAAGAAGCCCAGCTTTCTCAAATTCCGATGAAAGAAGCGGATTATAGTCCTTTATCCAGATACCAATGTCAACATCTTTACTGTGTGGTATAATGTCGCATTGCCTGAACCAACCTGGAGATGAAAAACTGAAGCACATTAGTGTAAGTCAGAGATGTTTTACATTGTGAAAGAAAGTCCACAAAAAAAGCCGAGGATTGAAAGAAGTGAAAAAGAGATTTGAACGTATATGCTTTGCGATATCGATGTGAATACTCGGCTTCCTGAACGAGAGAGGGTGAAAACACGAACCAATGAACTAACTACGGATAAAGAAAAACGAAACCAAACAAAAAAACAACAGCAACAGCACATACAACGGAGCGACCGAAAGAACGAGAGAAAAAACAAACGAACGAAAGAGTGAATATACGAACAATTAAGAAAAAGAATGGCGAGCGAATAACAGAATAAGACTGAAGGAGCAAAGAGAGGACGTGTGAACGAACGAACGAACGAACGAACGGGCGCGCGAGCGAACGAACCAATGAACGAATGTACAAGCAAACGACTGAACGTGCGAGCGAACGAATGAACGAACCAACCAACCAATGAACGAACGAACGAACGAACGAACGAACGAACGAACGAACGAACGAACGAACGAACGAACGAACGAACGAGCAAACAAACGATCCAACGAACGAAGAGGGAATGAACGAACGAGCAAACCAACAAGTATACAACAAACGAATGGCAAAACGAGCGAGCAAGCGAACGAGCTAAGAAACAAACCAAGCGACCAACCGAACCAACGAAAAAAAAAACTACGAATTAACGAAGTAAATTGAATGAATGCATAAAGTTACTCGAAATCTTACCATTGCATTGACTTACCTAGACAAGTCCCACTGCTGAGCCAGAACCTAACTCCCACTCGATGCAGAGCATTAATAGCTGCAGACAGAACCTCTAACGCCTTCTTCTTAAAAAGTATGGCATCTGAAGAAATGTCTCTTCCATATTTACTGTAGTAACGCTGAATATTTGTAAGATTACAACCTGTAAATCGCGACTGATTTGTCTCTAACGCTAGCTTCTCTGGATCTGCTGGAACATTGACACGTATTCCATCAACAAGATTTTCCTCGATGGCGAACCTTGGAATATAAAATACGATAGTCGCGAGTGAAACGGGACGTACTCAAAAATTTGCCACCATGAGATTTAACCAAACGTTCCCTTCTAAAAATGGCCTGGTTTGGCCTCTCAACTGTCAGTCAACCATCACACAACCATCAAAGAGTATGGTAAAAATAATTTGAGTCTGCGACAGGCTAAGTGGTCCACAACTGCAGGAACTTATTATCCCGGTATCAGATAATTAAGTGGAAGTAAGGGGGAGGGGGGGNGGGGCCAGAATCCGGGAGGATGGGTATAGGAAGGGTCCGGGAGGCGGGAGACGAAAGAGCTGGAAGTGGGAGTTCTTAGAGGTGGAAACGGAAGAGAAAGGCAAAACGCTAATTTCTGTCATTTCTAATGCTTCCAAAAACAAGAACGTAAAATGTTATTTGCCTTGAATTCAGCGACCTCTGAAACTTCGGAGAAAACGAGCAAACGAAAATTCGCCCTTGGGCTGAAACTCAGGCTTACTTTCGCCGAAGAATTGCCATTTATTTATTCGTGAGTACCCATTTATACATACGCGTGTCCAGTGGAGTACAAATACACTATTTTTACAATCGTTTGCTCAGTGACCTCGCCTTTGAATGGCAGCGAGGCTGCGGGTGACTTTGTGTTGACCCAGACCTGACTGCTTTCGTTATGTAAATCAAGTTGTTCTTATGTTGACTAGTTTGCATTTAAATGAGAAAAGCAGCGAGGTCTGTATCAAAGCAAAGTCACCTTTAGCCTCGCTTGCATTCATAGGCCAGGTAACTAAGCCCACAACTGTAAAATAACTACATTTTTATTCGTTTTCGTACCATATTTACCCTACTTTCGAAATCCTATCTATCACTGTAATTGCTTTCCACGCAGGGGATTCTCTATATTACCGACAGCTGAAGTAGGCTTCACAAGAACAAACTTCACTAAGGCCTCATTAAAATACTTTCGAAATTTTCACATGATTACCTTACATGACTAAAAATAGCAACCCAAAAGAGTTCGGCAGGGTTTATTCTCTTTTTTTAAAGGCGCAAAACCCGAAACTGTTATTTCAAAGGGCTTGTTTTCACTGGTACTAGAGGAAGCAATACACAATCAGTTTACTAAACAGTTATCAGTGTTTATGACGCGAATGTTTGATTTTCACTAGGTCACGAGCGCTCTCAGTCATATGCACTCCGTCACAAGTGAAAACTAGCTTTAAATGTTTCAATGAGCTGATGAGCGCGTGTAAACAGCTGCAAGTTTCAAACAACAATTCAATCCGAGAGCGGATTTGCTAAATAGTACTTAAAATCGTTGTTGAAAGAAATTTGATAAGAATTCTACTAAAACAATTACATTATTCTTTCTCGAATTCTGTGATGACTATCGCTTCACTGTTAGAAGACGAGACGATTCAATTTATTTCCACACTGTAATTGCTTTCCTAACACTTCCACCTTGAAAGGGATTAACTAGTAACACAGAAATAAAGCAAATAATTGATTATGCTCATAAATTTCTTTATTTCTTCTCGGAGGTGAAAGTTGTTGGCAAATCTAACAGCTTTTCGATTTAAATTTCTATATACCATTCTGCAGTCTGCTTTCTTTGTCTAGTCGTTTTTTAATTTGCTTATGTTACGTAACAGCTCTCGTGTCAGTAGTATAGCTTAAACTGGTTGTACATAGCTTGCTCGGCGTAAAAGTTTCTTGAAAGCTCGTCGGTATTCTCTGCTTCTAGCGCAGTGAATCGCGGGATTAAAAACTGAATTGCAGAGCACAAGAGTTAACGTGAAAGAGTCTATAGTTAAAAACGAATCAGGTGAAATTGTATGAGATCGCGAAACAATTCTACAGTGTCATGGGTATACAACACAACAAAGCAACTCCGATCACAAATGATGGAAATGATGTACTCTTTAAAGGTTTGTTTGCTTATTTCAGTGTGCTCAATTAGTATAGCTGTGCTAAACACTTCGACACTTAAATAAAGTGATATGTTTTTTATTTAATTTTTTTCTTCTCCTTTAAAAACTTCGCCTTGGCATACTGCTGACTCGTGAATTTTCCTATCCGCTTACGAGCTTCGTGATAACTAACAGCGCGGTAAAAAATAATCATAAAAATGGCCAGGAATATTACAAACCCACGAGAATAGTAGTTTAAAAGGGTGAGCTTATAAATAGAAAAGAAAATTGTGAGGAAAACCAGCGGCCACACGAAAACAACGCTAACGATTAATCAACGGTATAGAAGGGAATTTTATCGATATATACCGCTCGATGCTTATCAACGTCAAATCGAGTAGCGAGCTCATACGGGAAGTTCCAATGAAGCGTCTTGCAGCGTATGGAATGGTGGAAAACTCTGATACCGGGGCTGCCTGTGAGGCGGTAGATTTGTTCAGCAATGAAGAGTGGTTGTCCCAATGCACCAGTCATAATGCCAGTTCCTGCCAAACAGGCCAGCAAAGCATTGTATTCGTCTCTCAGCTGAGGTGTAGTCTTGACAGCAAGGATGGTCAAGACGTTGAAAAAGATCGTTAATGGCGATACGAGCAGATTGACGATTGTTACCGATATCAGCGCAACAGACATTTATCTGGTAAGAAAGTTTGACCGCCATTCCGGGAAATTAAAGCCTTTGAGATGATAATCGCAACTGATTGAGTAAGATAAAGAGTTCACTTTAGTCAGTCTTAAATCTCAAAGAGCACTGAGGTATTGTGTGTCATTCGTAAAGACACACCCAGAAAAAAAGACTAGAAAAAAATCTCTCAATTCTTATTTGTGGTCTTTTCGCCGCAAGAGTGAAAAACAATTGACGAATATACTGAACTTAACACTGCATTCAATATCTTCCTGCAAGGAAATGTTCTAAAACCATCTTTTTAAGAGGAAAATAATTCTCTTGTGATAAAATTGCAATTACTTTCGATTAGAAAAGCTTTAGGTGACTACATTTCACAAGCCTCTATGTTTTCAAAGTAGTAGCGTCCGTTTTCCTTATTTTTGGTGAGCAGTGCTTAAAAAATACACACACCTTTTGAGGAGAGAAAGAAAATAAAATTGTACTTTAGAAGAGGATTTCCCATCTGAAATTGGCAGAAAAGTCCCTCTCAAGAAATAAGTTATTTCTTGCGTCGTTAAAGCCACTTTTAGATAATGATTACAATCGATAGGTGTTCAAATACAAAAAAAAAAAACCACACGTACAGGAAGTTAACGTGCATGAATTCAGTAACCTGAAGCAAGTCAAAGAACTGCATCCTAGGAAGATGAAAGAAAAGTGTCAAGCACTTTATGATATAAGATCATCTTTAGGAATTTCTCTAGAATTGTAAATAGAATTGTAAAATAGAATTGCACTTTAGAAGAGGATTTCCCATCTGAAATTGACAGAACGAAGTCCTCTCAAGAAATGAGTAATTTCTTGCGTCGTCAAAGCCACTTTTAGATAATGATTACAATCGATAACTGTTCAAATAAAAAAAAGCACATACAGTAAGTTAACGTACATGGATTAATCTGAGGCAAGTCAAAGAACTGCATCCTAGGAAGATGAAAGAAAAGTGTCGAGCACTTTATAATATAAGATCATCTTTAGGAATTTCTGTTGCCAGCTATACTCTGCTCAACATTTTCTTAGCAATTTTTTTCAAGCGATATGTAAATTGTTTCCGGGTTGTTCAAATGCTTGGCAAAGCATAAGCTCTCTATATACTACAGTGGGTGGCTTTGTATATTTAAAAACAAAGAGTTCGCTGAAGTAAATCCTGTTCACAGTTTTCACCCGCGAGGAAAAACAAAGAGATATTCTAGATTGATAACGGCTGTGTTTCTGTCGTCCTAGTTTGCGCTTTTTAAGCTCAAATTGTCATTTATAATTTGAGAGTAACATTGAGTAAATAAATTCACTTTTCTCCATATTAATTCTTTCAACTTTTCCTATATTATTGATTGAAGGCAAGTTACCGTAAATTAAAACCAACATAAAGAAGGATGAATAGAATTTTAAAATAGTAGAAATATTCGATTCCAGGGATATTTTTAGGCGATGTTTCAAATATCAATTTTTATCACTGTGAAGCAAACACCGAACAAACTCTGTGAACTATGCATTAATTTACTGATGGAATTTCGCTATAACCTCAAACTATACCCTCATTCGAAACACAGAACTAGCAAGAGCTGTTGATATAGTGATAGCCCGGGCGAAGATTATATTTTGGTTATCGATGTTAGCCGATATACCATTTTCTCTGTGTTTCTATCGACTTTTGGTAGCCAAGCTATTTAAGCAATAGAGTGTTTCTGTCGAGGAACTATTGGCTGATTGTTGCCCCGCGGAAATTTGATGTTCTTAAAACAAATATTTTCCCTCGAAGCTTCGCTTCTCGAGTAAATATGTTAGTTTCATATTTTCAAGAGGCAACTATCAGACCGATAGTTCGAAGACATAAACGCTCTATTATCTTTATCGTTCACCACTAAATCATTTTCAACGTTTTTAGATGAAGGGCATGAAAGTCAAATGTAAAATTTGAAAAACGAAAACAGACAAATTGCGTCTTTCAAGTTTTCTTCTATAAGCCCGCTTGTTACAGAAAAATTTTCACCGACGAGATTTATCCATCCGGGTATTTTCCTCAGAAGGGCACCGGCTATGGGCAGATATAAAATACGAAAAGTTTACAGAATTAATATAGGAAAATGAATATATTTACCCAATGTTACTGGAAAATTATAAACATCATGCGCTTAAAAAGCGCAAACACAACAATTATTAATCTAGGATATCTCTTTGTTTTTAGATATTTCAGATGGGAAGTCCTCTTCTAAAGTAAAATTGAATTTTCCTTCTTTACAAGCTCTACACAAAAGGTGTGTGTATGTTTTTAGTGCTGTCTTTTTTTTTTCTTAAAAAAAGTAAAGCCCGACGCTACTGCTTTGAAAACATAAAGGCTTATCAAATGTAGTTACCGGAAGCTTTCAAATCGAACGTGATTGCAATTTTATGTCGACAGAACTATTTTCTCCTTGAAAGGTGGTTTGAGAACATTTCCGGGCAGGAAGATATTGAATACAGTGTTGAGTTTTTATTTATTAGTTTATTCGTCAGTCCCTCTGCACGCTTGCGGCGAAGAGACCACAAATAAGTTTTGGAAATTTTTTTTTCGTGTCTTTTTTCTGGGCGTGACTCTAAGAATAACAGCCGAAACACATAACTGCTCTTTGAGATTTACTCCTGACTGAAATGAATTCCTCATCTTACTCACCCAGTTGCGATTATCATCTCAAAGGTTTCGATTTCCCGGAATGGCGTCCAAACTTTCTTACCAACGAAATGTCTGTTGCTCTGATATCGGTAACAATCGTCAATCTGCTCGTGTCTCCATTAACGATATTTCTCAACGTTTTGGTCATCCTTGCTGTCAAGACTACACCTCAGCTGAGAGACAAATACAACGCTTTGCTGGCCTATCTGGCAGGAACTGGCATTATGACTGGTGCATTGGGACAACCACTCTTCATTGCTGAACAAATCTACCGCCTCACTGGCAGCCCCGCATCAGAGTTTTGCGGCATTCCATTGGCTGCAAGACACTTCATTGGAACTTCCCTTACGAGCTCGCTACTCCATTTGACGTTAATAAGCATCGAGAGGTATATATCGATCAAGTTCCCTTTTAACTACCATGATATCGTTACTAAACGTCGCTTGATCGTAAGTGTTCTTTTATCGTGGTCGCTGTCGGGTTTTCCCATGATTTTGTTCTTTTTTTATGAGAATGACGTTTTACGCTTTATTCTGTCCTTGGTCACAAAATTTCTAAGTATTTCTATCCTTATTTTTTGCCGTATAGCTACTTATTACGAAGCTCGACATCAAATGCGGAAATATAGGGCTCAGCAAATATCGTCAGTGGCCTCGGCGACATTCTTAAATGAGAGGAAGGCTTTTAAGACTACAACATTTGTGATTGGAGTGGTGTTGCTGGGTTACATACCAATCGCACTATTTAAAGTTGTCTTTGCACTTCTTATAAGTTTACCCGAGACATTTTTAGCTATAGAGTCTTTCATATTAACACTTTTGTTCTGCAATTCAGTTTTTAATCCCGTGATTTATTGCGCTAGAAGCAGAGAATATCGACGAGCTTTCAAGAAACTTTTACGCCGAGCAAACTATGTACAACCAGTTTAAACTGTATTACTAATACGAGAGCTGTTACGTAACATAAGCAGATTAAAACGACTAGGTAAAGAAAGCAGGTGCAGATAACAGGACTTGATATATTTGACCCTTACACCTGGTGTGTTTACAAAAGTTCCGTGGATGTTTTCGTCGAGGATTTGTTTTTGTTCTGTTTACAAAGCGAAGGAAAACCTCCAAGGCTGTGGGGATGCCTTCTTTGATATCTTTAGATTTAAACTGAGAAGACAAAGAAGCAAACTTAAGGAGTGAATGAACGGCTAAGAAATGAACAGCCAAACGAGTGCAAAGCAAACGAACGTCCGAACACAACGCAACCGAACAAATAGAGGGTCGAAGCTCCCAAACACCAAAAAGGAAATCAAGCAAAGACGGCGGCAACACCAAAGACAACGTGGAATAAAAAACTACTTTATATCCAACCTGCGAATCTCGCAAGAATTTAGATTCATTCTGTTTGCCTATCGTTGTTAAACTTAGAGCTACTCCAAACAGAATATGACTAAGGATTCGGAGGGGGTCTTAGGTCTTGGTTTTTGAGATTCGGAGGGGGTCTTAGGACTTAGTTTTTAAGATTCGGAGGGAGTCTCAGGTCTTAGTTTTTGAGATTCGGAGGGGTTCTTAGGTCTTAGTTTTTGAGATTCCGAGGGGGTCTTAGGTCTTTCTCAAAGTCAAGGAAAAGTAGAAGTCCGGGAATTTTTTTTTGCAGCGGTGTAATCAATAACGCTGTCAATTAGACTAATGTTCTCTCCTATAAACCGTCCTTTCAAAAAACCAGTCTGGTCATTGTGTCGTAGGTCTTAGTTTTTGAGAATCGGAGGTGGTCTTAGGTCTTAGTTTTTGAGATTCGGAGGGTGTCTTAGGTCTCAGTCTTTGAGATTCGGAGGGGGTTTTAGGTCTTAGTATTTAAGATTTGGAGGGGGTCTTAAGTCTTAGTTTTTGAAATTTGAAGGGGGTCTTAGGTCTTAGTTTTTGAGATTCAGAGGATGTCTTAGGTCTTGGTTTTTGAGATTCGGAGGGGGTTTTAGGTCTTAGTTTTTGAGATTCGGAGGGGGTCTTAGGTCTTAGTTTTTGAGATTCGGAGGGGGTCTTAGGTCTTAGTTTTTGAGAATCGGAGGGAGTCTTAGGTCTTAGATCTTAGATCTTAGGTCTTAGGTCTAAGATCTTAGTTTTTGAGACACCCCTGTTCGGTGCTCCAAAACTTTGCTCAGGCTAAATATACAACGACAGCGTTTAATTTCAAAAGGTAACACAAAAAATTAGTCAGGACTCGAGGTTCACCTTCTCCAAAATACAGAGAACTTGGTCAGTTCATGCTGGTGTATGTAGAGGACGGCTATGAAAAGTTGCAGAAGGATTTTAAATGCCATTCACAGTGCTGTTAATTCAGCCATGGCAAACTACCAATTGCAAAACCAATTACTTTTTGACCATCAAGTGAAAACCGCTCTGAATTGTTTCTTATGGGACAATTCAGGGCTCAAATATACTGGGAATAGCCTTCTAGTCATAGACTAGTTGAGATTCACTTGGTTGTTACATCGTGATATAGTTGACTCTGTAGTCTCTATGGCTCGAGAAGGAAAAACAGCTATTTTTATAGTATCTGATGCAAATCAAACTTAACATTCCGCTTACACATGCAGTTCTGTGCAGTCAGACTTGCCGTTGTTGGTTGTCTAAGAATTAATGCTAGAGATTTTAACGCCATATTTTGCAATGATACTGAACAGGACCTTAACAAAACAAACCTTAAAACAGGTTGTAATGTTTGTTTATGTGCCGCAAAGGACAGACTTTTATGGTAAACAGGTCTGTACCATTTGCTATATGTCCATTCTGAGTGATTCGGAAAAAGAGAGCTTGAACATGGATATGCAATGAAAACTGGCATCAAGGTTAATGAAAGGGTTTTAAAGCAAAGTCTTAAATTTTGCAACATTGATGCTTGTAATTGTTCCTCAGGTCTTTAATTTCACGAGTTTGTTGCAATAATTAGTGAAATAAGTCGCATGAAAATAAGTAACAAAATAGTAGGCTCACCTGTTATATGCTGCAGAATATTTCACAAATTCACTTGCAATATCTCCCTGAAGAGGTCCATGCCATAAATATGATGTCCTGTCATAAAATATCACCAGCTCTATAACTGTATCAGCCTGGGAAATGCTACATGTTGATACTATAAACTTGATATCCATGAAATCTTTGCTTGAATCAAACCAAGGCTCTTGAACCTTGTGACATACCATAAGGAAACCTTGTATTTGAAGATCTGTTCTAAACTGGGTCTAAAAATAAAATTAATTTGTAAAACAGAATGTTAATGGTTAGACTGATAGGAGCTCGCTCTTTTCCTCTCTCCTTTTTTTTTTGGTCACCCTGGCCCTAGCTGTGCTGACAGGGGTTTCATTAAGGACTGGCATCATGCAAACTGACTGGCTGTGAGGATGATTTTGCCCGCCTGGTTTTACTGTCTAGAGGAAAGTTTTTGTTGTTAAGAAGTTCAATTTAAAAACGTTTTGCCTGCCTCTGGAAACCAGTTGCCCAGTTACTGAAAATGTTAATGAAACCCCCAGGCCTCAAAAGGTGGATAAAGCTAGCCACCAGATAAATCGCTATCCAGTGGTTTAAGTGTCAACAAAACAAACCATGCTATCCACTGGATAGTGATTTATCTGGCAGATAGTGTTATCCACCCATTGAACAACCTGGTCCTGGCTAACAAGGCAGGAAGGCTAATTAAGTTATGAGAGAGACACCAGCCTTGGGGCTGAGCTTGGGCAGGGGCAATTGAAGCACTGAAGAAAAGAGACATGTAAATGAAGCTGCGATCTAACACCTTTTAGAAATACAACGATATAGTTATAGAGTCCTCTCTGCCAAATAAGACCTAATTCTCAAACTCTACAAAACACCTCATGTTACGATTCATAATATTTTACTCTCAATCTTGTATGCAATCCAAAATGCCCCATCCTCCCCAAAATACCAAGAATACTAGTAACCGGAACAGAATCATTTATAGCTTCCTATCATCGTTTTCAGCCTGGGAGGGTGACTCCCATATAAAAAGGACAGGGGTGCTTGTCGTACCTTTTAGGGGTTGAAAAAGCCGTTTTTGGTACCTCTTAAGGTGTTGAGCCTCAAAGGTCCACTGCGGGAGCTTTTGCATTACCTTTCAGGGTATTGACCTGAGCGAACTATCACATCACAGTAGAAAATGTGTTGTTTTAGAATTGGTACCTACTAGGGGTGAAAAAAAATTTCAAGCCATGCCCTCAAACATGATCTTGGCACCCCCGTCCTTTATAAAATTCTCTTCCTCGGCATTTAGGGTGTTTATGATGACTATAACCAACAAAAATGAAAAACAAAATGACTGAGGTAAGCACCTCAGTTTGTCTGATACTAACTACAGCCCTAATCAGTAATGACATCTTCAGTGGAAGTTGGTTGGTGCCAGGGGTGATGTAGCAGCTCTCGTAAGGTCTCACATGAATGGCTTGCTACCCTTTGAGAGAACAATAGAGCAAACAACAGAAACAATGCCCCTAGCCCTAAAACAATAACAGTTGCTAACAATGAAGAGAATTACAAGCTTACGAGAGCTGCTATGCTTCTGGGTGCTGGAGGTGATGCGCTTGAATAATTGACCTTAATCAGCCACCAGGAGTTTACATCTGTTATCATTGATATTTCTTGTGACATGACACATGCCTAATCGGATGCTTGTATGTGCATGATGGCCTCAAATCCTCTTTAACAAAGATATACATACATGTACATGTACTTACTATCAGCACTGACAGTGAATGTCTTTGTTCTTTCTGCCATTCGAAATTTATAACACCAAATATGATGTGCTGATTTTCACAAAAAACTTCGCACCTATCTCCTTGATCAGCAACTTGATCAAAGTCTGTTTTTGGTGAGGCAAACACCAGTGGATGAAACAGAAATACTGGAACACTGTGCTTCTTGCCCACTTCTGTAAATGCCCTTAAATATTTCTTAAAAAAGAAGATCACTTTGTAAGTAAAGTTATCATTTGCAGGGCTTGACAGCAATGGAAGCAAAATGGAGCTACAAAATAAGAACAGAACAAGAAGTCACAGAGTATAGAAATGTTAAGCCGTATTCCGTTACAAAAAAATTCTTTGTAAAAGTGAGCAGAAATTCTTTTCACCACCTGATGCATGATTATTCTGCAAAGTCCAAAATCAAAATTACTTCTTTATATAGTTACATAAATGTAATTAGTTAAAGGTCTCCAATATAGCATAAAGAGAATATGAGTATTCCCCTTGATGGGGTGCTAGTCTATTGCAGGGTTTAACCACACAGCGATAAGTTTTTTAATACCCATTTATACACCTGGGTGGAGGGAGGCCTGTGAGAGTGATGCGTCTCGACCAAGAACAGAACCATAACAGTCCCATTTGGCCACCCTGGACTCCCTACATTAAATGCAGTGAAAGTAAAAAGTAAAACTAAAGTCTGCATTTGGGAGGAGTGGTGGCCTCATACATGGTTTCTAAGTGCACTCTCTCCAGATTGAGGAATCCGGGTTTGAGCCCTAGCGCAGGGCATTGTGTTGTGTTCTTGGGCAAGAAACTTTCCTCTTAAAGTTCCTATCTCCACCCAGGTGTATAAATGGGTACCAGTGAATTTAATGTTGGGGGTAGCCCTACGATGAACTAGCATCCCATCCAGGGGGGAGTAGAAATACTCCTAGATGCTTCATGCTACAGAAACTGGGATTAGCGCCGGCTTTTGCCTGCAACTGAGCCAAGCAGCCCATCAGACCAACACTTACATGTATCTCTGGGCGCCATGGCATGAAGTGACAAAGGAGTTTTTCTACCTTACACCACCCCCTCCCCACCCCTCTGGATGGGATGGTAGTCTTTTGCAGGGTCACCTCCAGCAATTCGCCATCCTTTTGAGGATTTTATCTTGGGTCTTAATCATGATCCACAAAGATATTAGTCAATAACGTTTTTGGATTTATTGGGATTTTTAACATTCTTCCCAGATCTTGACCGAGATCCAAGATCTTACAAAGATCAGAAGTTCTTGGAGCATCTTTACAAAGGTCTTTACAAGATCTTACATATGGATCTTTGCAAGATTTTTCAAGGATCTTCTAAGCTCGTTGACGATTGTGCAAGATTCTCAAAGACTTTAAAGTTTTCCACCAGGGTTGTATACTGTGCTCTCACTCATAGGCATACATTAGGTCTACATGTATATCTGCCTTCTTTGCCATCCTCCTAATGAAAAACAAGATGCTGTCCAATGTTTGCAATTAAGGTGCTAATATCAATACATGCAGGAGGCACAGTGGCCTCACAGTTAGTGCACTCAACTCCGGAGCGAGCGGTCCAGGTTCGAGCCCAGGCTGGGGGCATTGAGTTGTGATCTTGGGCAAGACACTTTCACTCTCACGGTGCCTCTCTCCATCCAGGTGTATAAATGGGTACCAGCGAATTTAATGCTAGGAGGGTAACCCTGCGATGGACTAGCATCCCACCCAGGGGGGACTAGAAATACTCCATGCTACTGAAACCAGCATAAGCTCCGGCCTGATGGGCCACTTGGCTCGTATGTAGACGTAACCTATCAATACATACCAACGCAACGTTCCTTTGGTTTCGATACGGGAGCAAACCTCGAAGGCTCTCTAAAACTCGAAATCTAGAAATCAACTGTTGGAGAAAGAAAAATAATAATATTGTACACTATTAGATCTGAAGATAGATTAACTTGGGTTGCATAAGCCTTAAGCCTAAATTAATTTGGCTGACGCTTTCCTTGGACCAAAACAATACCGAATATATAAGCTTAGATATTGAAGTCATAAACATTGTATCATTGAACTAGAACAGTACCGTACTTAAGTATATTTTTTTGCTTCTTACATACCGTGTTATCAATTGCTTTAAGAGATAAGATTTGCAAGAACATAAACGTGACAGAGATCACTAAAAGGAGAACAAGGATGATCCATCGTGTGAGAACAACTCTTCCTGTCATAGCGGTCTTCTGTCAACTTCATCCGCCATGTTTAATTTGTTTATCGCTCCAGGCCTCTGTCAAGTATCTGATAGATGTAGTCTGGGAACTAACGAAATGGCCGTCGATCGTTTTCGATGACGAACGGGAAAATTTTAATCGGTGCTTTGGCGTTAACGCTGTTCTTTCTAGTGGCTGGGTTAGTCCGTAGCTTTTTCCAGTTTCCTGAAGATAAGGTGAAGTACAATTTGTTGTATGTAAGGGTGGAAGGGAGCTATGAGAATTTGTCGCTTAGCTTTGATTTGTTCTTGGTTGCGTGTTCTCACAGGCGGCCCATATCGCATGCTCTCTATACAAATTTCCATGTGAGAATACAAATCAAATACATACTTTGGTTTTGCTTTCATTGAGAAAAAATAACTCGCCTAAATAGCTTTAAATTGACTCCAAGAACACACAGACACAAGGTAATATAAGTCAGTTTCCTTTAAGCCTCATCTACTCGTAATTTTACATCTATCTTTTTGTCTCTTTTTACTTTTGTAAGGACTTCCTAGCAGTACATCTGACTGTGGGCAAGTATGTTTTGCAGGTTGCAGGTTGAAAAATCGACTTTTAAGTCCGAGTGAGTCTACTTAGCACTCTGGTTAGCCTAAATTAGCTAAATTAGCTTAGGTTGCTTGCGGTTAGCCTTTATACTGGGGTTTATTCGACTTCAACTCAAATAAACACGTTACAACCTGCAACCTGCAACCTGCAACTTGCAACCTGAAAAATATACCTGCCGTCTGACTATCGTCCATTTTGTTCAATGCCAACTTTCTGACCCTTTGAATCAGAAGAAATGCATTGACGTGGTGGATCTTAGGGCATCTGAAGTGGATGGTGGGTTGGTGGGTGGTGGGGGTGGGGTGGGGAAAGCACAGGGGCCTGTGAAGAGAAAATGGATTAACGTGATTGATCTAGGGCATTTGTGGTGTGAATGTGGGGGTGGGGAGAATAATTTATACATTTTATGCGATTATTATTATAATTTCTTCAAGTTAATTTATTCAAGTTAATGTATCAAGTTAATTTATTCAAAGGACAAAATTCCACTCCACCCTGTTTTCGTGAAAGCCTTGTTCTACCTCTGGGTGTGTTTTTGTTTTTGTTTTGTTATTTTGACGTTATAACTTTGTGTTTTTTTGACTTAACATCATGAAGGTTGTTGGCACCAGGCTCTTAAAGTCCAGCATGATGGAGGGGAGAATGAGAACCAATGAGAAGCATGTTGCAGTGGATGTCCTCAAGTTTTTTCATCTTGAGGATGGTTTGGAGTTGCGTTGGGTCCATGCAGTGAACAGTCAAAAAAGACTTCAGGAAGCCTTATCTGGAAAGACCATGATGCTGGAGGCAGATGTTTTGCTGCGCCCTGCAGATGGAACACCAATTATGGCTCACCCTCCCGATACCGAAAGTGACCTTTCACTTGAACAATTTCTCAAAGAAACCATTGGCACAACTAAAGGTATCAAGTTGGATTTCAAAAGTACAGCTGCAATTGAACCTTCCTTGAAAATTCTCTTAGATATAACTTCAGGGCAAGAAGTACATAACCCGGTATGGTTCAATGCTGACGTCATACCTGGTCCATGCCACAAAGATACTGAATGTAATGATGCAGTTATTGATCCACACGTTTTTCTTTCTCTTTGTGCCAAGTATTACCCCTCAGCTGTCCTTTCCGTTGGGTGGACAACTGGGGAACATATTTTTGTGGAAAAGGATTTCTATGAGTGGCATTTTGTTAACCCAATGAAAGACTTGCTGTCTGACGTATCACAAGCTATCACCTTCCCTATCAGAGCCAACATGGTTGGTAACTCAACGGAACAGATCACTTGGCTTCTCAGTCTCTCAGATCAATACACGTTAACGATTTGGTCAACAAACTTCGACGAGCCAAACATGAAAGAATTGGTGAGCCTGCGAAATAAAGTCGACAAAAGTAGGATTTTTTATGACATACCTCCTGATCAGGAAATAAAGTTTATGGAAGAACTTAAGCACCAAAATTAGATGTATTTATGAGGACATTATGCGAGAATCGTGGATAAAGATGTAAAGAATGGATTTAAAGTGTGAAACGCAAATCTCTTATTTTGTTTTCAGTTTCACGGTGGAGAAAATTTGTGAAAACATCTCTTATGAGAATCTGCTCTTCAAAACAGCTACGAGTCTCAGACTTACTGAGAGACTGGCAAACAATTTTGACAGTCGCGAAATTACACTGAAGACATTTGTAACACTAGTCACACAAAGTCATAGATAATTAGAAATAGATAACGACATTTGCAGGACATCGCGAGGAATCTATAGGGGAAACTTTGCTTGGAATATAGAACAATACAGATAAACAAACTCTTTGTGTTCCCTTGGTCTTTAACAATGCTTGGTGTGGTTAGAAAATCTCCCTTGAAAGACTTCCCCTATCGTTTACCATTGTCAAAGTTGAACAACATTTTTTTCTTGCTCGAGCGTGTGAAAAACGTTTGGAGATCTGTTTACGTCATTAAATACGATAACACTAAATGTCCAATAGTTGATAACGCTGCTATATATTCGTATCAAGTCCAGGTGTGCGTTATTTTCCTTGAGAAAAAATTCCTAAGAAAATACGCGCGTTGATTGGTTAAAAATCGTGTTTCTATAACTCGATAGAAACACAGAACTAGCACGAACTGTTGACGTAATGACGAGCAAAGAGAATTGACATTTTGATAATCAAAGTTAACAAGTTGTTTTCCTGTTATTGGTCGCGGTATTTTCTAAAAGAAACAGAAAACATGTTCTCCGTGTTTTTATCGAGTTATAGAAAAAGGAGTGGAAGTCTGGGAGAACGAGAAATGCTGTGGGAACACAAGCCGCAGGTGAGTGTTTCCACAGCTTTTTCGAGTTCTCCCAAACTTTCACGAGTACATGTTTTCTATTTCTTAATTAATATAATTTTCGGGGTGAATATAGGAATCTGACATTCTGGTAAGGAAACTCGGCTTATGCTGATTTGTTAGAACCCTTATTAAAGAGAAAGAAAAGTGAAAGACAGTTTTTTATCGCACGACAACTTATTACGTAGACTTGGCACAACTCGACCTTTGTTCATAAAATCCTTGAAAGTCTACTTATTACGTGAAGTACCTCAAAACTGTATTCTTTCCTAGGGTGAACAGAACGGGTTGAATTACATTCCAGACTGAAACTTTCTCCACGTAAACGCCAATTTCAGTTCAAGAAGTTTGTTTGCCGGCCAGCAGGGCCGAAATTCGGGCAACCCTTAAACACGGAATCATGAAACCGGAATCCGGTTCGTGTTTTAGGGTAGCCCTTTGAAATTCCATGCAGTCGCGCTGACCTGCGATAATACCCTCCCTCCCTCCCTCGCTCCCTCGCTCCATCCCTCCGTAAACAAGACACCAGGGAGTTTAAGAAAACCACAACGGCAACGGAAACGGGAACGTCGCCAAACAAAAGGTTTAACGAGGAGGACAATGGCTGTGCACGTGCGTTATAATTCTTGGTACATTTCTTTGCCGTCCTCCGCAAAACAACAACGTGAAATGACCAAATTCTGTGTTGTCTGGAAAACGTGAACGACGACGACTAATAGGCATTTTACAGTTGTCTGTTCAGTGACCTGGCCTTTGAATGGCAGCGAGGCTGCAGGTGACCTTGTTTTAATACAGACCTCACTGCTTTTGTTGTGTAAATCAAGTTGTTCTTATGCTAAGTAGTTTGCATTTAAATGAGAATAGCAGTTAGGTCTGTATCAAAGCAAGGTCACCTCCAGCCTCGCTTACATTCATAGGCCAGGTAACTAAGCACACAACTGTAAAATGACCTATTTTTCAAATTTCAATTTCCAGTTTAACGCTATGCTCCATATCCAGTTTCTTGATAACTTTTCGATTTTCACAGTCTTAGTCTCAAACTGCTGTGATTTGATTTGATGATTAACCAAAACAACTCAAGGGAGTTCAGTTCAGTATTGGAGTCAATAGTTTCAACAGTTTTAATTACTTTTCATTTTCTAGCCTTGTGAACTACTAGTTAATACTAACAAACAAACAAACAAACAAACAAACATACTACAACATTAAGGAATAAGATTACAGTATTACATTTAGATTACAGTAATAAAATTTCCATTTGAGGATGCCGTGTACAACTTGTATCCGAAACAGTGGCGAGGAGTCAAGTTTTGAAATCATTCAGGCATGATGTTGCCCGTCGCAAATCGGATAGAGGGCAGTTTTACAACCTGGCTCCTCTGTACAGGAGTGTGAGGTCGTAGAAGCGTTAGCAAACTGTTAAAGACAGCACAGTCTCAATAAAGCGAATCGCCTTAAAATCAAGCAGTGTTAAGTTATACCAATCGCCACACTCAGCATTCATTTAATCGTACAATTAAAACCAGTGTTTGAAAGATTATAAAAACGCGTCTGCATACGGCTGTACAAATAAATATCATAACGGGAATACTATTATATTATGGACCACTTGGCCCCCACGCAGACAATTGTTACAGTACAATATAGTGACAGCATTGCTCTAGTATGATATCTGTATACACATTAGTTGTGCACCGCTTCGAGTGGTAGATCATGGAATATCCCACGAGTGTCTTGTGTTTTGTCAGTGTAGACACGAGCTTTTCATTATTTATATCATGCCATAGAAAATGCAGTGGCCAACACAAGCAATGTAGCGCATGGTGTGAAGGTAGGGTGTATTTTCTGCATTCTGTATACTGTATTCTAATTGTCTACGTGATCTATTGCATGGTATAATAAAGAATTAGATTATGAGCTGGAGATTTCTATCGCGTGATAGTTTACGAGGGCGCAGCCCGAGTCAACTATGACGCATAGAAAGCGAGAGCTAATAATCTAATTGTTTTAGTATAAATCTACTAGTCGTTCAAAACTTTATCTAAATCCTCTTCACAGACACTTCGAAAACGCCAAGAAGCGGCCGTCGTTTTGTTAACCAGGGCACACTACTACGCTACTCACTATCTATCACAGAATAGATAGTGAGTAACTTAGCCAATCAGAGAGCGGCATTCGTGATAGATTTATACTAAAGTGTAGTACACAATGACGTTTTCAATGTTACTTTTTTTGCTCTTCATTCTTCTTCTTTTCTCTCTGAAAGGAAGACAGCTGCCTAGCAGGAGGTGTTCCATAAACCTTCAAAGCAGCTTCTTCATATTGGCTTTGATTCAGGTCTGAGTCTTCACTCAATCGACGATATTTTTCCAGCATTTGATCCGACAGATGTCGAAATTGGAGTTTTGTTGACTTATTGTCCTGTTTGCAGTCCTTCTTCTCTTCCTCTTTTGGCCAGGTCGGGCCTTCTTTTTCCTGCCCGCTCGAACAGTTTGCCTCCATGTTGGATCTAACAATCAATCAATCAATCAGTCAGTCAGTCAGTCAGTCAGTCAGTCAGTCAGTCAATGAATGAATAGGTAAGCAAGCAAGCAAAGAAACTAGCCAAGGAAAGAGCAAACGAATTTAAAGTACAAACGATGGAGAAAAAAAAAACAAACGATCAAAATGAAATTAAATGTCATTTATTTTCTTCCTAAACAAATGGCTACAAAACGGCAAAAAAGAGTCTTTTATTCCTTTTCTGTGCCTATTTAAGTACTGGCTTAATCGTGTTAGCTACGCTATGTAGTACATGCTATTCTTACATCGTAGAAAAGATAAATGACTATTCATACCTTACTTTGTCCTTTTCACCTTTCGCTGTCTGATCATGAAAGATTACTCTAATCATTGGAAGAACTTTCCATACAATCTACTTTTTATACCCGCCTGTTTTGTTTCGAATACCAACTTTCGCTAGTACACTTGAATGTCGAACGGAAGTTCTCGTAAACAATTCTTCCATGACGTTGGCAACGCGTTAACCTCACCGGAAATAGTCTTCAGCCAACGCACATCGGACCACTCAGAAGAAAGCGCGCCGCGACAGAATTGTTTTTGAGTTCACTATCATAAACAAAGTATGACGTGGTTAGTGATGAATACAACGTTAATGAAGTAAACATACCGGAGATAAGCGCCTCACAGATGGGCCACTGGACACGAACGCATATTTTAACGCTACCTTTCTAGCAACAAACGTAATTTCATCCATTTTGTTAAGTTGTCGCCATTTTACTAGTACGCAGGTTAGATTTTTTCTCACGTCCGCCATAGCTCCTGCTGACCATGAAAATCATACCTTTGTACCCCATATTATTTACTGCATGGTTTTGTTTCTCTTGGCTTAAACTCTTATTTCTTACATTACCTTACCACACCAATAAGGCGTAATTTAATTTTCTGCTTCCAAGTAATTTGTCTCCAAATAATATGTTTTTCGAGTTAATAAGATAATGACGTCAATCTTTAAAAATAGCCTGTTTTCCCTTAATACAAAGCTTGACATAACAAGCTGTTTTGATTGGCTTCATAAAGCTGTTTGGTGGAGAACGGTCTCCAAATATGGTTGTTTTTTTCGAACAAAAAGGTACTTACGTAAAAAGCGTTGAGAACTCCAAATATGGTGAGTCTTTTTGTAAATTTATCATAGCTACTAGTTATTGTCGAACATTACTAATTATCGAAAAAATAAGCAATAATTGACCTGCGAGAGACTCACAAATCACGATATTTTGCGATAACCGAAGTCGATATTTGTTTTATCATTCTATTACAAAGCTATTTCTCATATTTAAATCACTCTCTGACAGCTCTGGGAAGTGATCTGCATGCCATTTTTCACACAGGAGCTTGGTTATAATTACGCAAGAGCAGAATGTTATTTGCAGCAAAACACTTTTAGATGGTATTACGCATTAGCAGACACTTAATTATTTGTATGCTGTCATTTGCTGGTGGACTCTCAACCAATGAAAAGGAAAAAAAAGGCAAGTTATCGAATGATAGTCTTGGTTACTTATCGATTACGAAGTACACCTGATAGTGCTAATTACCAATTATACTGACTGGATCAAGGACTGATTTTGATTAAGTTTGACTATTAAGCAGAACTTCAAGAATTCGATTGCGTTCGATTGAATAAGGGTTTGATTATGGAAAGTCAGGCGCTTTTATTCGATTTGCTGGATGTTTTGCTGAGTTCGATTGTGTTCTAGCGCCGAACGCAATCGAAATCAATCGAAAGATTTAAGTTAAATTGGTTCGAAAAAACAAGCAAGGCTACGTACTGTTAAAGTAAAATTTGAAAACATGGAAGCATTGTTCGAAAATAACTGCAATTGAGACGACAATGGTTGCTGTTCATAACAAATGATTAAGCATCCCAGGTACATCATTTTATCCTTAATCCAGAAGCAGGACACACAGATATGTTTCTTTAATGTTTAATTTAAATCAACACGCTTTAAGAACGAGGCATACCCATATTCGTTTTGCCCACGTAATCTTTTTGGGTTGTCAGCATGGGCTGCAAAAAAAAAATCTTAAATCTTATTGATACAACAACAGCAACAACAACAACAATAATCTTTATTTTCTTTCTTTGAAAAATTAAAGTTCTAGCTTTGAAAGACTTTTTTGGTAGCTCTCTTAGATTACGTGGTATCTCATTCCATAGCCTGGCACCGATTCTTGATAATGCAATTTTTTGTAATTCAAGATTTGAGGCTTTTATGTAAACGTTA